AAAAAAAACACACCTTATCCCATCCCGTGGTGTAGGGTTAAGATACATGCACCTGAATTCCTCTAGACAGTAGCTCCTGTGATTGCAAATGAGCAATCTTAGTAGAGTCTATGCCCTCTCTTGTGGCTCAGCGCAGCTCACCAAAGCTTCCATGATAGCAAAGGACCAGTGTGTAGGGTCTCTACCCTCCTGTAGCTCCTCATGGCTCACCAAGTCTTCCTCAATGGTGCTAGTTGGTTAGCAAGTTCTTCCTTTTCCCTCTTAGCTCAGCACAGCTCAACAAGTCCCTCTTGATGATTGAGGGGCAGTGGCCAGGGTCTCTTCCCTCCCTCACAGGCTCACCCAGGCTCCCTGGATTGTAAAGGGCATAGTTGTCAAGGTCTCTCCCTTCCAATGTAGCTCAGCATAGCTCATCAAGGCTTGCTCAGTGGCAGAGAGTCAGTGGGTGGGGTCTCTTAAGCATATTAATTTCTTATGACAGTGACAATTGTGATATGTATATATTCCAAAGCATCTAAGTTCTTAAGATTCACAGCTTTCTTTCTAGTGTAGCAAGTTATTATTGCATGAACACAGAAACTTATATGGAGACAAAAATATAGATAGATAGAAGATAGATAGGTAGATAGATAGATAGATAGATAGATAGATAGATAGACAGTCAGACAGACAGACCTTGTTCTGCCCCCTGATTATTAAAGTCCATTTTTACTGAGTATTTAAAGTCCTCTTGGTGAGTCTTTATATGGGATACAAATATCTTTTGACAATAGAGAGAGGTCAATCCACATGCCTTACACTAAATATCTTTGTCAACAATTATTCTTCAAATTCCCTGATCATCCAGTGAAACCATTGGGTGTAGCCCATGAATCAGTATAAAGTCACACATCTGACCATGTTTTCCTCCAGGCAAAATGTACTTCCAAGTGAACTTCCCGAAGTTCTGCCCACTGTGAAAATTTCACTTCTCCATATTCCATCAGGGACATCCTGATGTGGGGCTATAATTCTGCAGCTGTCTGGACTTACACTGACAGCCCAGTGTGCAGTGCTCTTGGACTGTATCCTCAGTGACCATAGATCATAGAGCTCTCTCATGGTGAACTAGTTCTGAGAGATGGAGATAGGATTTTTGAGGGAAAAGTTGGACTTAATATTACCATATCTTCTGTACTCCATCCACTCCAGTCACTTTCTGGGGGATGATAGGTCCATTTTCAGTAGTTAACACTGATACTGAGTAACCAGAGGCCCTCTTGATGAGAAACAAAGTCTCTGAGGGCTCCACAAGGCCAATTCTGATTCCTCTGGCTGCAGTTGTAACTATATCTCTAGGAAAAAGAAGAATCAGACCCAATCAGTCACCTGCTTACCTAACCTCCCCATGT